GATTAAACATTTCACATATTACAGGTGAAAAACAAATTATTCCAAGAACCCACATACATTCATACCCAAGCAACTTGTTATATATTAACCATGTGGGCAAGCAAGGTATTCTCAGTCGGGTCTTTTCCTGACAGGCTGCCTTTTGCAGTTACAAAGAAAGGGCCAATTACTTTATTACTTACCTTGAGGTAATCTTAAAGGAATCACAAATCTAAACTTTTATATACGAAAAAGAATCAGTCAGCTCTACTTTAAATCTTTGGGGCACATACACACTCATCAATAGTTTCTTATCTCAGGAGATTGAGGGCAAAAATGGGCACAAGGAATTAATCATTACCATTGATCACCAACCAAACCTAGCAAGGAAAGTACTAGCAGCAATTGGGCTGCTTTGTATTTTTGTCCCCAACCTAATGAATCTATAACTCAGCTGTGTGTCCTTGTGAACTTTAGATTATTTTCTAGGGTTATTCATCTTAAAACTATTATGAAAGCATTTGTTCTGACCTGAAGTTACTTTAAGGCTTTGTTTCAGCTAATGATGCACGCCGAAACCCATGACTGCATCTTTCAGCATTAAGAGAATTAGAGCCAGCCTGGCTCCTGGGGACTCAATTGTCTTCCTTAATCATTAACCTGAACTGAGATCTATGCAGCTCCTTGGGTGAAACTCATAGGCCCTAGCAGTGTGGCATTTTTTTTTTTTGTATTTATTTTTATTCATTGAAACTGTTTAAGCTAACATTATCATTATCAGTTAGACACTACAGCTTAGGGAGGAATCATCTTCATAATAATCCACAGGTAAAAATGCCCAGCAGAAAAGAATGTTTCGTGAGACAAACACACTACATTACAGGCAGAGGGGATCTACTCACACCCATTCACACCATGCCAGATACCAGAGAAAGATGGCAGTAGCAAACTTGTAAAGGCACAGCAGAAGCAAAAGACATTCCAGGGTCTGTAGTCTCAGGGGCCTTGCCTGTCTGAGATTGACCCATCAGAGGGTTTCCTCCTGGTGGGCTGACACCTTGAACTTCAGTTGACACCTGTTGCTTCCCTGACACAGCCACCAGCGCGCGCGCGCGCGCGCGTGTGTTTGTGTGTGTGTGTGTGTGTGTGTGTGTGTGTGTGTGTAGCTAAATCTAGATTCCATATTCAAGAGAAAACATGCAATATTTGCTTTTTTGGGTCTGGTATAATTGTGTGTGGGCCAGTGCCATGGAGGTCAGAAGAAGTCATCAGATCTCTTGAAGATGAAATTACAGATAATTGTGAGCTGCTCAATATGGTTGTTGGAAATGAAAGTCCAATCCTCTGAAGGAGCGACAAGTATTCTTTACAATAGGGCCCCAGATATTAGTAGACCCCCCAGACCTTAGTGCAACTGACTCCACAATGGAAATACCATTTAGGCCATAAAACTCAACACATAAACAGCACCACCTTCCAAAACTAAAACAAAGGCCTAATCCATCAAAGACCATAGCTCTGGGGTGATCTCTAAATGGACTAACCTTGCTTTTTGGCTTCTGTGATTCCTCTTTTGGCTAACTGTTCTTGTTAACTGAAGTATGTCAACCCAGGACAT